ACCGCCGAAGCCAAGACGATGAAGAGTAAAAAAATCTAGACTACAAGGGAGTAAAAACGATTCACGCGTGTGGATCCGACGACCACCTCACCATCGACGGCTGAGGTTGCCAGCGGTAGGGAGCCGCTGGAGGACGGCGCTAGAAGATTGGCCTCTCCTAGCGGCGGCTAGGGTTCCAGCCACCAAAAATGAAGGGAAAATGCTTAGATCTGGATGCGAAGGAAAGCTCCATATTGCAGATATTTGTGCCTCCATTCGGGCGGGGCGGACAGGGCGTTCCGAGTTCATCACCCAGTCTGGACTTTTTTTTAGGAGCTCATCTAGTTGCGAGCTCCTATTTGGTGGTGCCAGAAAACTGACTTGGCGCACAGTAGCGATCCCTATTGGGCCCCGGCCTACTACACCTCCTTCGCTCGTTCTCACGTACAATCATTCTGTCCGTTCGCCCCTAAAAAAATCATTTTGTTTGTTCGCTACAGTTTTTCTTACGTTCGATCTTTTTTGCTCCTTGGTTTCTCTTATCTCTCCCTAATAATAAAGCACGGATTGGGTCTCCGGATTCACCGTCGCGGAACTTTTGCGAAAAAGCCCCTACAATTTTCTGTATTCAACCCGCAGTCTTCGGCATAAGTCAGCCCGAACCGGTATGGGAGAGAAAAGAATAAAAAATATCAGCCCAGCGACCCGCACACCCTGCCTCCTCGATCCCATCTCGAGCTCCAGTCCGCCGCCACCTACCGCGTCGCCCTGCCTCACCGCGCGCCGCGCGCCGCCCGCCGCCGCCGCCTCCTCCTCCAGCCCGCCGCCACGTCCTGCCCCGCCCCGCCTCAACGTCGGCCACCCGCCCCTGACGCCCCCGCGGGCCGCACGCCCCCGACGCCGCCGTGGGCCACCTGCCCCCAACGCCGCCGCGCGCCGGCCGCCGCACTCGCTAAGGACCTAGAAGCCTGCCGCTCCGCTCAGCGCACCCACTTCGCTCGAGGTTGGGCGAGCGCGGAAGCAGAGTTCGGGACGGCCGGTCGGAATCCATCGACCGGTTCTCTCTTTCTCTCCTCTCCCTTGGATTCCTGGATGTGGTGGATCAATCTTGGCTTCGTGGTGGCGGCGGAAGGAGCGCCGTGAGAGCAGGTGGGCTTGCTCCTGGTAATCTCAGTTTTGTTAATAGCAAGTGGGCAATTTAGTGTTCATTGGCAACAAAAAGAAGTGAATAATATTATGCCATACTTCTCCAAGATCGGAACATATACCATCTTTGCTGATCGATTTTATTACTAACTAGCAGATTCCTGCTGGTGCTTGGGACGTTTTCGGCTGGGATTGATTTACCAGCTACGTCCAAGCAGGCCACTGGATTGATTTCACGAGGCTTATTAGCTATGTCCCAATCCAAGCTAGCTGACTTACTAGCTACGTCCCAAGCAGGCCAATCCAATATGCTGATCGATTTGATTGTTCCCGCTGCAAAGTAATATATCTGGAGGTCAGGAGGTGCGTCGTTCACACTAGATCGTTTTCAGAGTTCTACAATTAGGTATAATTACAACTAGGAAGCTACCCTTCCTGGATAACTATTTTAGTATCTGTTTTTATTTATACTAATATAAAGGCAGGTTACAATTGTGTGCAGGTAGAAAATTTATCATATTAGTGTCCATCTGAAGAATCACATCATGATAGGAACAAGGACTATGGATGTCATGTTGATAGGAATCTGAGATGATATAAAATAGTGCTCATCCAACTGCTAACTGAATATTCTGGAAATTAGCTCATAGTGACACATATATTATTACTAGAGCAGTACTGTCCTAGACTTGCATATTCAGAATTAGTGCATCTCATGCAGTAGTGCCATTTTGTCGACACACCATATGATATATGAATAAAACCATAAAAGTATATATGAAACTGTATAATCTGGCACTTGGTTTCATGCCTCCAGCAATGTGATGTCCTTTTTATGTTATCATGGCATACACAGATAATTAAATGATGATTCTTTTATAATGTCTCCATCTCTTGAGCTAAGCACATGTTGTCAACATCACAGAACGACATGGAGCTGCAGACATGCACTTGGAGCACATGTTGACTTGCAGCTGCATCTGCAATCTCCCAAACAAATGAGTAGCACCGTGTAGTTGTGGGCTTGCAATAGGTTGGCGGGTAAATGGTCATAGAGAGAATACAACAGGCATGTTGACTGCTCACTGCTGCGAGTATTCCATTCAAGTCGACAAACGAATGTAGTTTTTAAATATATATTTTTTGTCACATATAATACATATTTAGATAGTTAAATTGTCGACCTAGAACTACGCGAATGACTTATTCACCGAGACGGAGGTAGTAGTACAATTGAACACAACTAATTAATGCTCCTGCAGGTTGACACATGCCCTTGAAATCTAGAATGAGTCCGCAATTCTGGAAAAGGAGATGTCCTGTGGTGGGCGACCCTGCCTGTTGAATACAATGAACAAGGCATAGTTGACAACCTTACTGAAAACAATGTGAGAAGGGTGTGGGCTAGCAGGAAGACATGGGCATGGGAGGACGAACAACTATACCTGCTCCACGATCAGGGCATTGCGGGCATGGGTCTACCTACTACTCTGGTCGTCAAGAAGTTCCAGAGCATGAACCCGCTACGATTCGGAGATGTTCCTGTTAGCCAGCAATTCTCACGACGACATCATCAAAGTGGTAGACCTCATCCAGCGGGAAGACGCAATCATGCTCGTTTACGAGTATCCGGTGAACGGAAGCCTTGACTACGGGCTGCACCGGCCTGTGGTGACCGGTTGGCCTCTAGGCTGGCCGGAGAGGAGGGACATTGCCATCGGCGGGGCCAAAGGGCTCTGCCACTTGCACCATGGATGCAATAAGCCAATTGTCCACCACAACATCAGCCTTGAAAAATCTTGCTTGATCAGAATTTCAAGGCTGTGATAGCTAGTTTCGGCGATGCGCAGATGAAAACATGGTTCGGCTCGGCTAACCATTGGCAATCACGGACCTGCCTCCTGGTAACTTTGGGTACGCAACTCCAGGTACTTGCGTTGGGCGATCAATGCACTTTTACTAGCTAGTACTCCCTCTGTAAACTTTTAACATTAGATCACTACTACTTTAGTGATTTAAAAGATCTTATAAAACTTTACAGAGGGAGTACTAACCAAGAACTGATGAATTGCAGAGTATGGGAGAGCGACGAACCAGGTGACTGAGAAGGCAGACATATACAGCTTCGGAGTAGTGCTGCTGGTACTAGTCACGAGGCGGGTGGCCCAATGGACCTGGAGTGAATGGTCCATTGACAACTTGGGCACAGAAGAAGTGCAATGAACTGATGGCAAACAATCTGAAAATGTTCAAGATTACTGTGGACAAGGGCATACATGAAGGAGATGTTGACCATATTCAGGCTGGGCGTCGATTGCACCGTCAGGGATCCACAGGAAAGGCCTTCAATGCTCAAGGTTCTGGAACGACTCCACCGTGGCGTTCTCCATTCCGTGGCCTCCTCACCTTCTCCATTCCGTCAGGTCACCTGCAATCTTACCTCACATAGCCTTCAGCTAGATTCTCAAGGCTATGTGAGGTTAGATTCCGTGCTACTTGCGATGTCAGAAGAGGCTCACGCGTACATGGCACCCTGCAGCTATTCTGAATCTGATTTTCGCACTGCAATGCAACCAGTTTGATCGCTCCAGTCTTCAGTAAGCAGATCACTGAAAGCACACACGCAAAGGCTGATATAACTAGGGAACTGAAGAGCCACATGAAAAAGAAACACAAGACAAGCCAAATAATTAATTCCACAGCTAATCTTCACGCCTTCATCCTGCCCTTCCATCAAAAAGAACATACCGTCAAATAGTAGAACTCAACGACAAGCAATTCTTGATGTGAACTCGGTCACAGGAGACAACCTTATGACTTGCAAAAAAGAACTCAGCCAGCTCAGGACGAAGCAAGTTATTCAATCGAGTTGCCATATATTCATTGGGCCATTTGTGTGCTGTGTGATCCTTCCAAAAAAAATACAACTAGCATCAGCCTAAAACATGGGCAGACCAACAAGGCTGGAAAGATGGGACTGAAGTCGAATGTGTCACCTGAATTAAGGATCCTTTAATTCTTTTACCACTGTTTTCAAAATAATGTAAGGCTAAGTGAGGGTTCAACATAATATAACAGTGCCAACAACTTTCCAATCATTGTTAATCTTAATTTAATACAAAGCTACGTTGAGTTCTTAAGACAAAAAATGGGAGAAGGCATTATTACCGTCCACCTTTGTTTTGGCTTTATTAACTAATTTAAAGCCGGGCTCTGTTCGTGCCTTTTCCTCTAAACAAACCCATCTTAGCCCATCTACAGCACAAGCAGAACGGTTAAAATAAGCAAGACATTTACTTAGCTGAGCCACAAAATAAATTCTAGCCTGTAAATCGACTATCAATCTAGAAAAAGACTTGCATGCATAGCAAGAAGTTCAAACTCTGTTTTGCTAAAGCTGATACCCCCCTTGATCATACTGGCAGCTTCCTCGAGTTTGCCTGCTAGCTGGGTTTTGCCGATCGACTCGGATGCCACGATCAACTGCTGTGGACCTCCCTGAGCCTCCTGATGGCCCTGGTCAAACTCTCGTCAAATACTTGGGACATCTACATGATTTGGTGGAACTTGGATCCTCTGACCCACAGATACCCGGCTTCCATTAGGTCAGGTTGGAGATGACTCCATGGTCAATCTGGATCTGTTATCGGCAAGGCCCGAAGAGCAGGTTTCTATAGCATTGATAATTCGGTGGTTGTTTACTAGTATATTAGGTGCCTTGCTTTCAAGCTGAAGGTTTGCAATACTCTGGGCTATCTCTCGGCATTTGTAGAAGAAAAGGGCAAGCTCCTCCCTTGGTTTTGGGGCATCCTGAAGGTTTCTTTTCAAACAAAACACAAAAGCAGAGCCACCATCTTGGTCTACAGTAACATCCTTCAAAGTACCACTGAACATAGTTCATCCGCTGAGCTGATCTCACATGCCACTTTGCCCTTCACTTGTACTGAATCCTCACTGGTTATGTATCTGAAACAAAAATGACCCGGTCGATAAGAATTCATGAAAAGAAATGGTTATTGACACAATAGATGAATTCTTTAAATTCAAGCAGACAAGAACAACAAAATATTTCACAGAATAATGATGCAAGCTAAACTGCAATTACAATCACTCACAGGGAGAGGTTACATTTAGTACAACAGCCTAACAGATAGTGATCATCCAAAATAGTAAAATAGTTGTGTTCTGCTAAGAGCATTTGTTTTTTTCCATCAAGTGCCCAAGAAGATCATAGACCGGCTCTCCTGAAAATGTTTTAATGGGAATACTTCCTAAAAGTTTGATATGTTGTCAGAGACATGAGCATGTTGTGCTGCCTACATAACTCAATATCCTGTAAGAAGAAAGTTCATTTCACAACTTCCGAATGAGCAAGCACTCCAAAAACTAACACCACTAAGAATTCTCCAAAGTTTGTATATGCATGTGTGGAGCAGTCAGGAACACAACAAAACACTGTCAAGTGTGGGAGGAAGAAACATTTTGATATAAAGGTTTCCATTGCAATCAGGAATGTCTCATTTTGTTTCATTTTCAATGTGAAACATTTTGAGTTCTTGCTCATTTGGAACTCTATATGCTTGTTTGTTGTCAGAAACATGAGAATGTTGTCCTGCCTACTTAACTCAATATTCTGTAACAAAAAAGTTTATTTTGCAAGTTCCAAATGAGCAAGCACTCCAAAGACTAACATCACTAAGAATACTCCAGAGTTCAAGATTTTATTCTTGCTTGGAGCAGTCAGGAACACAACAAACATTGAAGTGTGGGAGGAAGAACCATTTTGATATAAAGGTGCCCATTGCAATCAGGGATGTCTCATTTTGTTTCCCTTCATTTTTCACGTGAACGGTATGGAAGGCCTTTACTCTTTATTTTCATGTTTCCAAAGTAAAATAGGCACTTGGCTTAGCCGGTGGCATTACATGTTATAGCAGGTGATAAGGCCACCGAATCGGCCACATCCACAGCCGTGGCGGAGTCGTTTGAGAGCCATATGCATGGACGGCCTTTGCTGCGGATCATCGACGGTGCAATCCACGCCCAGCCTGAACACGGTCGCCATCTCCTCCATGTACCGTGCTTGATTTGGGATGTCCTTGTCCACAGAAATCTTGAACCATTCCAGCTTCTTGGCCATCAGCTTACTGCAGTTGTCACGAGCCCATATGGCCAACTGACCATCCACCCCATTGGCCACCCGCCGTGTGACGAGCTCCAGCAGCACCACACCAAAGCTGTACGTGTCCACCTTCTCCGTCAGCTGGCTTGCCGCCCTCCCATATTCTGCAATTAATCATTTATATGACTAGTTAGCATGACCACACTAGTTACAAGATGGAATTAAAAAAACTCATTGCATGAACTGAATGCCCACCGTACCTGGAGCTGCATACCCAAAGTTACCAAACACAGATCCCGCAATCGGCAGTGGTTGGTTGAGCCCGGCCATGTTCATTTGTGCAGCACCAAAACTGGCTATCGCGGCCTTGAAATTATGATCAAGCAGGATGTTGAGAGAGGTGATGTTGTGGTGGACAATCGGTCTATTGCATTCATGGTGTAAGTGGAAGAGCCCTTGGGCCACGCCAATGGCGATGGCCTTCCTCTGCGGCCAGCTCAGCGGCCGTTCACCCTCCTCCCGCCGGTGCAGCCACTTGTCAAGACTGCCGTTCACCTGATACGTGTAAACGAGCATGATGGCATTCTCCCTCTGGATGAAGTGTAGGACGTTGACGATGTTGTCGTGACGGATGCTGGCTAACAGGAACATCTCCGACTTGCAGCGGTTCTCTAGATTACCGTCCACTATCCCGTCTGAGTTCTGGAACTTCTTGACGACCAGCATGGTTGGGTGACCAATGCCAGCAGTGCCGTGAATGTGGACTAAGTAGAGTTGTTCGTCCTCTCCAATCCTTCTGCTAGCCCAGATGCTTCTCTGATTACTTTCAGTGAGGTTGTCGACTATGCATTGATCATCGAGCACAATAGGCATTGTGGCCACGGGACGGCTCCTGCGCCAGAGCAGCCGTGATCCAGCCATTTTCAGCAGCTGCGGTCACGCGGGAAGAGGTTCGTGCCAAAGCTGCTCAACCAGTCAACCTGCACACACATTATTTAACTATGAGAGATAGAGAGGGATGCATATTGGTAATGATTTTGAAAGCCAAATGTTGACATGTACGACAAAGATGAGTGAATCTGAAGAATGTTTTTTGACATTTTGAACTACTCGGCATGGGTTCTTCCTTCATACATGCATGATACAAGGATCAAATGATGATGATGGCTGTAGCCTGCAGCTACTATGACTCTTATGGTTGTAACTTGCAACAAAACATGCTCTACTAGGAAAGGATTCAATTACTAACGCTAACCACCTGATAACATTCAGAATCCAGCTGTATCTCACCTGCGGCTGTACTGCTGTAGCTAGGGTAGTATAGGAGCTGTTCAATTCAGAGGCTGGAACAGAGACAAGAGGGAGGAGGCATCAAATTAGCTGAGGGGAAACGTAGAGGGAGAGTAGAGGAACGTGTGCACCAAAGGAATTTGACGGTGGATCACGGGCGTTGGAGATGAAGGCGGTCGGAGTTGGAGAAGAAGGCCGCAGTATGTGGCACCGGAGCTCCAAGCGGTGATCCATGGATTCGGCTTCGGAAGGTCGATCCGCGGCAGTCGTGGTGCCGTCGGGCCGTACCGACGGGTGGGCACTGCTCCCCTACACGTCGCGGCGTCTCCTTGGGCCGCCTCCCACGACGGGTCGACGGCACGCCCACCCTCCTGTCGCTTGCGCAACCAAAGCCACGGCGGGCGTCTCCCGGCTCTCCTCTCCGGCTCCAAACCGGGAGGGAGGCATTCCCGCCGATAGACCAGGCCGTGGATCTCTATCTCTGGGTGGAGATTGGGAAGGACGACCGACGGCGGCGGCGGCGCCGTGAGGAATGGAACCCGAGACCGAGAGAGAGAGATGAGGTGGCAGTGGGGATCCATAGCCACAAACTGACTGGTGGACCCTGTTTGTCTCTAGACAATTTTTTAGATTTGCGTGCGTATGTAGCAAGATAAAAAAGAAATTCCATAGGTTTCCTGTATACTCCCTTGGTTCCTAAATATAAGTTTTTCTAGACATTTCAAATGAGATACAAAATCCGTATGTAGATTCATTCATTTTTTAAATATAGATTCACTCATTTTGCTTCGTATATAGTCACTTGTTAAAATCTTTAGAAAAACATTATACTCCTTCCGTCCCAAGACCGTGGAAGTATTTTTGAACGGAGGGAGTAGTATTTTGAAGGGGATCCGCAAGACAAAATGCGGGACTGGACTGGTATACAAGAGCAAGTGCAACGAATCAGAGCCTGCTGAAACACAAATTGATGCTGTGGATTGGTGTAGCTACTGAAATGAGCATGGATGCTCGAGTACTGTATAATACTACTCCAGTAATAATAATAATACAGTATAGTTACAGTACCTGGGTTCGGATTAGAGGCTGCCGCTGCCTTCCCTTGCGACGGGAACTCAAATACGGTGTAGTAATCTGTACTGTACTGTACTGTATGGTGTAGTGAGTGTCATGTCACCATCCGGGCCGGGTGGTCTATAAATAGGTCATGTCGGGTCGTGTGCTCTGCCGTGCACCCGACGACTGAAACAAAATAGTAAAATAACAACGGGTCGGCAGGACGCCTGGATCGACGTGGGTTGCCGCACGAGACTACCCATGTGCATGCACGCCGTCAGTTTCGAAAAAAAAAACAAAACAGCAAAGATCCTGGATCCCCTTAAGGGCTTCTTTGGATCACAGGATTTGCAAAACAAAGGAATAGGAAAAATGAAGGATTTGATTGTCATGACATAGTCAATCCTGTGGATTTTTTCCAGAGGTCGGACCTCATGTGTAAATTCCTTTGGAATCAGCACCTTGAAGACCCAATCCTAAGGAATTTTAATGGCCCAATCCTTTGATCCAAATGCGTTTCATAGGAAACAATCCTGAGGATTGATATCCCATGAAAATCCTGTAAAAATCCTCCAATCCAAAGAAGGCCTAAAAGGAGTACTGTGTCTGTTTCGAAAAAAAAAGTGTACTGTTGGTCGTACAAACGATGACTTAAACAAAATAAAATAACAACGTGGATCACATACAATATTCCCACATACGTTCTTCGTACGTACTTCCTCCGTCCTGGTTTATTAGTCCTCCTCGTAGTTTGGGTCAAATTTTGACCTTTCATTTAACTATCAAAAACTTAAGTTATATAACCTAAAAATAGTATAATTGGAAATCTCTTTCAAATATGCATCTAGCAATATAAATTTTATGACATATAACTTATAATTTTTTAGTCAAATTTATGGTCAAAGTTGGGCACAAAATACAAAGGCGACTAATAAACCCAGACGGGGGTAATACAGCACGAGACGACCCTACAAAACCGAAACGAGACCATGTGCATGCCTTCCCCTTAAAAAAGTACTCCCTCCCATCTGTTTCTACTACCTCCGTTCTGATTTATTCGTCCCCATTATAATCTGTGTCAAATATTGATCATAAATTTAACTAATAAAATGTTTATGCATGCCATCAAAAATTATATCATTGAAAACTATATTTAAATACAAATCCAACAATATAACTTTTGTTGACATGCACTAACATGTTATCAGTTAAATCTTTGATCTTAATTTATCACAAATTATAATGGGACTAATAAATCAGGACGGAGGTAATACCACACACACCCAATCACGTGAAGTCTCTGCTAGCTAAAAACAAAAACAGAAAAGAATTAAATAACAATTGGCACCTTGGGGCAAAACGCGTGGCCGCTCTTTGCCGCGCCGAACCCGACTGGCCCCGCACAGCTGAGTAATCATCTTTGTTATCTAAAAAAAATATCTACTACAGGAACGAGGGTTATAAGAACTAAGAGCATCTCCAGCTGTTCGGAGCCGCCCTGGAGCGAATCAGCGCAAGTTTGGCGCGTGGGGACGACTCCGTTCCCAGTAGTCGCCCAGCAGGTCGCTGCCAATATCGCGTGAGCTCGGCGAAATTACGTACAAACTTGTGCAAACTCGGCGATATGATACAAACTCGGCGAAATTTCATTGAAATTTGTAAAAAAAAACATGCAAACTACGCCACACTAGCCACTGCGCCGGTCCACCGCCCGCCATCTACATGCCGAGAAGCCTGTAGAAACAGGTGTACATAGTCGCCGCCGCCGTCGTCGTTGTCGCGCGCCCCGCCGGAGCCGCCGCCGCCCCTGCTACACCCCTACCCAGGGTCGCCGACACGCGGTGGGGCACTAGACGGCCTGGCCTCGTCCTCCTTGTCACTGTCGAGGATGATGACGCCGCACTCCTCGCGCCCGCGGCGCCGGGCCTGGAGCTCCGCGTATGCCTGGCGCTGGCGGCGCACCTGCTCGCGCACGTAGTCCTCCTTCGCACATTTTAGGACGGCCTCGTCGTCGGGGGCCACCATGTCGACGTGCTCCGACTTCACGGGGAGCAGGCTCGGCTCGGGTTTCGGCCGGACCAGGCGAAGGGAGCACAGGGAGTGGCCGGCACCCTCGTTGATGACGAGGGCGCCGCTGCGGTGTCTCCTCTGGCTCTGGCTTGAAGGGACGAAGAGCCGGCGAGCCGGAACCCGACTACGAGGACGTCGGCTCCATTCGGCGCGGCGTCCAGGAACTGCCGCGGCGGCGAAAGAAGGATGGCCGCGCCGGGTACTTGAGGTGCGGCACGTTGCTGGTCTCGATGTTGTCGAGGACGGCCTCGAGGGTGCGGCCTGGGACGCCCCACCACTCGCATCGTCCTTCGGCGTTGAGGCGGCCGCAGGGGATGATGTCGTTGACGGAGGCGATCTGCTCTTGGCGGCGGCGCTCGAAGTACATCGTCGACAGCGTTTCGCTGTCGGCAGTGTACTTCAGCTCGTTCCGCTGCTCCTCCGTCAGGGATGAGCGGATGCGGGCGATCTCGGCCCGCCGTGCCGCCCCCTCTGGCACCGGTGGCACCGGGACGCCGCCGACGCTCAGCCTCGACGCCCCCGGCACACGCATGTCTGGGGGCGCCGGATACTCGGCCTCATAGAGGAGGCGCGCCTCCGGCTCTTGGAGATGGCGGTGGTCAAAGCCGTTCTCCGCCGCGCCGTCGCCTGGAAACCTCTCGGCCATTTTTCTCGTCGGCAGGAAGGAGATAGAGGGCTGCTTTGCGAGGTAGATGCAGGGGGGTTGTGGCGTTCACCGGCGGGGAGGGTCGCCTTTTATAGCCGCAGCGAGGCGGCGAGAGGCTGCATGACGAGCGACGCGTGGCGGGAGCGGGCGGGACGTGTTGGGGAACGTAGTAATTTCAAAAAAAATTCCTACGCACATGCAAGATCATGGTGATGCATAGCAACGAGAGGGGAAAGTGTGTCCACGTATCCTCGTAGACCGAAAGCGGAAGCGTTAGAACAACACGGTTGATGTAGTCGTACGTCTTCACGGCCCGACCGATCAAGCACCGAAACTACGGCACCTCCGAGTTCTAGCACACGTTCAGCTCGATGACGTCCCTCGAACTCCGATCCAGCCGAGTGTCGAGGGAGAGTCCCGTCAGCACGATGGCGTGGTGACGATCTTGATGTTCCACCATCGCAGGGCTTCGCCTAAGCACCGCTACAATATTATCGAGAAGGACTATGGTGGAGGGGGGCACCGCACACGGCTAAGAGATCAATGATCAATTGTTGTGTCTAGAGGTGCCCCCCTGCCCCCGTATATAAAGGAGCAAGGGGGAGGGGGCGGCCGGCCAGGAGGGGGCGCGCCAAGGGGAGTCCTACTCCCATCGGGAGTAGGACTCCCTCCTTTCCTTGTCCAAGTATGAGAGGGGGAAGGAAGGGAGAGAGGGGAGGAAGGAAAGGGCCCCCCCTCCTTGTCCAATTCGGACTAGAGGGGAGGGGGCGCACGGCCTGCCCTAGCCGCCCCTCCTCTTCTCCACTTTGGGCCCAATTGGCCCATTAACCCCCCGAGGGGGTTCCGGTAACCCCCCCCG